AAGAAATGCAACACGTTTCATCACTTTGAGTACGAAACGTGTCACATTCCTTGTGTTTGGATTAACATCCATCCCAAACACATGCAACACAAATAAGATGATCAACCTATCAATGCAAATGTGGCATGCACAAGATTCCATCATGCAAGCAAAGCATGCATAGCATATTCGGAGGCCAAGAACAACAAAACTAGTAAAGAGCATCTCATAAGAGTCATGCAATACCAAGTTTAAATGGCTAAACCAACTATGGACAGACCAAAACCATGCCAAAATAGAGGCCAAAACATGCTAAAAAGGGAGCCCAAAAGCTTATGCAAGCATGCATACACATTGGCTCACAAACAAGGCATAAGGGCACAACTCTTAAACACAATGAAAGAGTGATAAATATGAGAGTGTGGCAAAGATATAAGCTCTGAAATACCATGCCAAATGATGCCAAGGCATGCAAACACTTCAAGCCAAGCATGCAAAATGCCTCAAAACTTAAAGCTAGTCAAGGCTATTGCACTACAAGCATCATACGACCAAGGAGACTCAAAATAGAGCTAAAGCATGCCAAAATATGAACAAAATCTTGCTAGGCTAAAGAGACAAGTATGCAAGGCGAGCTAGCAAGGATTACACTACAAGTGTATAAAGCATGCAAGAGGTGAGTCCACCAACCAAAAACAGAGCTATGGCATGTCAAAACAACACCAAAAATGTGCTAGAATGGAGCCAATGCATGCTAAAATAATAGGCTACAACATCAAGCATGTTAAGCTAATAAGCATGATTTGCACTACAAGTACAAAATGCAAGCAAGAAGTGACCAAACCAGCCAAAATCAGAGTTATATCATGGCAAAAAACTCACAAAAACATGCTCAAACTAAGCCTTAAGATGATAGAAATACATGCTCATTTAATAGGCCAACAAGACAAACAAGCAAGACAAAAGGAGAGGGGACCACCCTCTCCTATTTGGGACCTCAAAATAGGGTTTTTACCACTGAAAATCCTCTAGATTTCAGTGGTTAGAAGGCCACGAACAGTTTTTTTGAAAGGCCTTGAAAGATAGCTCAAAAGGCTTTACAAAGGAGCAAAAAGGGAGAACAACCCCCTAGCCAAACAAGGCACAAACCAACACTTTTAGGACTGAAAAACAGAAGAAAAATAGAGGTTTTTTTAGTTCAACACCACCCCAAAAGCAGACCCAAAGTAGTTGAAAACTATGGCAAAACAATAGTGCACAAAGAGCTTAAAAGGGACAAGGGGTTACCTTTGAAGCACAGTAGCAAATCAGCCTCTTTTCTGAGCCAAATGACCTTCCAACAGCCCCAAAATAAGTTCCAAAGGACCTCATCCCAATGATATGCAACTTTGATGAAGGATGCCTAGGCAAACTAGAAGTATTTCTCTACTTCTATGCACTTCTATGCACAAAAGGGCAAGGGAGAGAGGCTCTAGAGAGAGAGGTAGAGGTTTTGCTCTGGAAATTTTGTAGAGAGAGAGGGAGCTTAGTGAGAGAAGCTCTCAAACTTGTTAAAAAATGTTCTTCTCCCTTGAATATGAGATATAGCTTCATATATAGCAAAAAGGGAGCTTTTGGTCGAAAATATCTGAGCTAGGACAGCTGGCACAAGCTGGAAACAGCTGGAGGAGAAATATCTTCAAAAAATATGAATTTGGGTCATTCTTGGCCATCCGGCCATCTTTGGTGCCGATCTGCTACTTGTGATGGCCGACCGGCCACTTCCATGGCCGACTGCAAATTCTGCTCTGCAAGTCCAATTTCAAATTGGCATAACTCCTTCATATGGACTCCTTTGTAGGTCATTCTAGTGTGCAATGGTAGAAAATTTACATCAAAATTACAACTGTGCAAAAAGTTATGCCTCTTTTAGTGAAGGCTACTCAGTTTTGGTCCAACCGGAATGATGCCCAACTTCAACCAATCATATCTCCCCCATCCGAACTCGTCTTTAGGAGATTCTTGAGTGAAAAATGAAGCCCCGGAAGTCTTCTTTCCAACAGTGGTGGCCTCATAGCTTAAATCCAAGTGTATAGACAGATAGGCCTGATTTAGTGAGGACCACTTGACTCTCTCTTAACGATTCATGCCCAACTCCTTTCCTAACTGGATTTCTTCCCTCTTTTCCTTTTTTCTTCAACACCAAACCCCTAAACAAGGTGTTTTGAAAGATTTTTCAAAGATTTCATCTCTCTTTCATTCATTTCCACTTTGTCCTTGCTCGGTTTACCGAAAAGCACAACATTTAACAAAATGCAAGCCTCGAAACATCGTAGGAACTTTGTTTCAAAAATATTTTGAAAGAGAGGGTTTTAAGGTCTAAAATCTTTAGTCAAAATGGTTTTGGTCCAAAATGGGGTGTGAGGTTTGGATTTGACACTCTCCTCTTGCCGAAGAAATCGAACCTTGGCATAGCATAACCTGCATAACTTTCACCACTAAGTAAACCATCAGTAGCACCCAAGTCTTAAGGGCGGTCAAAAATGGGGTGTCTACAGGCACCTTTAATTCAAAACCACCCCCACATTTGCCGACTATTATACGGCGGGACGTAAGCCCCAAAAACCTTTTTCAACTCCCCGCATGGGTACTAACACAACACCACCCAACACAACTCAACTCAACTCAACACGACTCATCAAAACCCAACACAACTCAACATGATTCAGCACAATTCAACATAATCAACACAATTCATTTCAACACCACTAAATGTAATTCAACATAATTCAATGTGAACTCTTAAATCTCCATTTCATCATTTCATCCCAACATTACAAGAAAAGTGGGCTTATGAGACGGAACTTTTTGCGACGGCACATTCGCTGTCTCAAAAAATGTGACTTTTTAAGACGGCACAACTTGTCGTCGCCAAAAAATGTGATTTTTTGAGACAGCACAACTTGCCGTTGCAAAAAATAGAGTATTTGCAACGGCAAAAATTGTTGTCGCAAAAAAAAAAAAGAGTATTTGCGATGGCAGAGATTGCTGTCGCAAAAAAATAGAGTTTTTACGACGATACCAGCTACAGTCGCAAAAAAAAAAATGAGTTTTTTGCGATTGTAATACATACCGTTGCAAAAAAAATTAAAATATATATATATATATATTGTGGCTTTGAGACGGCTTCATATATATATAGTCATAAAATGGTTTAAATAAATGCAACAGTATTTTTCTGTTACAAAAAAAAAATAAAAAAATAAAAACGACGTCGTCTTACTCTTTTGAACATTTCTCTTCTCACCCATTTTTTCATCTTTCTATCTCTCTTCTCTTTCTCTTTCTCTTTCTCTTTCTCTTTCTCTTTCTCTCTCTCACTCAGAACTCTTCTCTGTCTGTCTCTCTCTCTCTTTCTCTATGTGTCTCTGTCTCTCTTCTCTCTCTCTCTCTCTCACTCATCACTCTTCTTTGTCTGTTTGTCTCTTTCTTTCTCTCTATGTCTCTGTCTCTGTCTCTCTTCTCTTTCTCTCTCTCACTCATCACTCTTCTCTGTCTGTCTGTCTGTCTCTCTCTCTCTGTCTTTCTCTCTATGTCTCTCGTCCATCTTTCTTCTCTTTATCTCTCTTATCTTTCTTCTCTCTCTCTTCTTTTTATCTCTCTTGCTCATCTCTCTCTGTCTCTCTCTCGTTTATCTCTTTTCGCTCTTTTTTTCTCTTTCTCTCTCTCTCTTTGTCTATATCTTTTCATTAATTTTTTTTATCTTCCTCTCTCTCTTCTCTTTCTCTCTTTCACTCATCACTCTTCTCTCTCTGTCTCTTTTCTGTCTCTCACTCTCTATCTCTCTCTCTCTCTCTCTCTCCCATTGTGTTTGCGTTGCTCACTCTCTCCTTTCCGTCTTCTCTATTTGCTGAGCTCCCTCTCGATTTATCGATCCACTACAAGAAAATATACTTTTAACAACCACTTTTTCTCTCTTTCGCTCATCACTCTGTCCCTGTCTCTCCCTCTCTCTCTCTCTCTCTCCTCTCTCTACTCTATCTGTCTCTCACTCATCTCTCTCTCTCACCACCCATCTCCTCTACCACCTTCACCACTACTGCAAACCACCACCACTACTTCCATTGTCGCCACTTCACCTCTACGACTACCATTACTACTACCATCACCACCACTCCACTACTACCACTACTACTACCATTACCTCTCCTTCACCCCTGCCACTCCATCTACACGACCACTACCACAATTTCACCACTAATCTCTTTCACCATCACCGCCACCACCACCATCATCTCTTATCTACCACATTCACCACTACTGTCGCTCCCTTTCCTCTACCACAAAAAATTAGTTCATGATTTTTAGTAACCAAAAAAAATAGGCTGCAGAAAAATATTTTTCATTGACCACAGAAAATTAACTTTTATTTTAGTGGAAAATATTTTTCATTAAAATATTACCCCTACTTCTACCAAATAAAAAATAATAATAATAATTTTTTCATTAAAATAAAAATGAAACAAATAAATTTTCAATCTTAGTAACTAAAAAAAATGAAATTTTTTTAAAAAAATTCATTAACTACAAAAAAAAAAATTATTTTAACAAAAAATAAAGTTTTTTAGCGACAACAAACCCCATCACAAAAAAATAAATAAAAAAAAGAGTTAAACGGCATTGTTTGTTGTTTAAATTTCATTTGTGACCACAAACAAAAAAAGATTTGATTTTTTTTTTATCCACCCCCCCTCTCCCTCTTTTTTTTTTCATTCCCGCTTTTTTTTTCCATTCCCCCCCCCCCGGGGCCCAAAACCAAAAATCCCTGATCTCTTAGCGTGTGTTTGGGAAGGCAACTTCAGGCTAAATTAGCCATGTCCCGACAAAAAAGGCTAATGTAGCCACATGGAGACAAAACAGAAATCACGGGCAAGTTCATACCCTTATTGGGGTAAATTTACCAAAATACCCTCACTGTTTTGAGCAAAACCCTAACCCTAATTCTAATCAGCTGTTACATTATGTTGATGTTTCATCCATAGACACTGCCACAGCCGCCCCCACAACCACCGGCATCGCCATCGCCACCTGAATGGCCCACCACCACCGCCGCCGCCACCTGCGGTGGCTGCTTACAAGGAATGTCTCAAGAACCACGCTGCCTCCCTGGGCGGCCACGCTGTCGACGGCTGCGGCGAGTTCATGCCCTCCCCCACCTCCATCTCCACCGACCCCACCTCGCTAAAATGCGCCGCCTGCGGCTGCCACCGCAATTTCCACCGCCGCGAGCCGGAAGACCTACCACCACCCTCCACCGCCCAACACGTCATCGAGTACCAACCGCAGCACCGCCACACCCTCCGGTGCTACCGCGCAGTCTAAATTCAGCATCTCCAACGCCGATCTCCTCCGCCTACTATCCATCAGCACCCCACATGCTCCTCGCTCTCAGTGCCGGGTTATCGGGGCAAGTACTGACGGAAAACAGACCGGTAAATTCATCCAGGACGGGTAACCCAAATGGGCGGAAGAGACATAGAACGAATTTCACGCAGGATCAGAAGGAGAGGATGCTGGAATTTGCGGAGAGAGTTGGGTGGAAGACGCAGAAGAAGGACGATGAAGTAATCACCGAGTGCTGCAGCAATGTTGGAGTCGGCAGAGGCGTTTTCAAAGAATTAGAGAGAGAGAGAGAGAGAGAGAGAAACAACTTGAAGGGTAGTTTCGTCTTTTAACATGGAGACACCCCACCAAAAAGTCAAAAAACCAAAAAAGCCAAAAAACCCTTCCCAAACCAGGCTTTTTAGCCCCGGGCTAAAATAGCCAAAAAAGCCAAAAAGCCAACCCACTTCCCAAACGGAGGCTAAGAGGACTTTAAAACCCCAGTACAGTCTAAAGCTAGGGTTTTTGTCCATCTCTCTCTCTCTCTCTACAAAATTGGGGACAATCGTCGAGCGCCATGGTTTGTTTCAAAGATAAAGCTTAAATCTTTGTTTTTTTGTTGTTTGTGTGTTTGATAATTGTATATTTCTAATATCGATCTCAATTGAACGTGTACTGATTTGATTGTTGTTTTTTTGTTTGATAAATGATTTGTTAAGCGTCAAGGAGATTACATAGAGCTTCACAAGAAAAGAAATGGCTATCGCCATGATCATTTTGAGCGCAAACGAAAGAAAGAGGCTCGTGAAGTCCACAAGCGATCTCAGATTGCTCAGAAGGTTCAGTTTCTTCACTTTTCTCATGTATGTATTTATGGTGTTTTGTGTGGAAGTTCTAATTTTGTGCTTCAATTTGAATTGAGCAGTCTTTGGGTATCAAGGGTAAGATGTTTGCTAAGAAACGCTATGCTAAGAAGGCCCAAATGAAGAAAACGTGAGTGTTTTTTTTTTGTTGCTTTATCAAGGATAAGATGTTTGACTCTGTTTTGCTTTATTTGATACCTTGATTTTATTTGGAATGTGGGTTTTTATTATATTGTTCTATTTCATATAAACAAACACAGTTTGCATCTTAACTCTTCTTTGCTGTCTTCCTTTCTGGTTTTTGTGCTTCCTTTCACCTTCTATCGAGTTCTCTCTCTCTCTCTATATATATATATGATTCTTCTTCATATGTGTTCTTTGTAAGAATTATATACCATTCATGAAGAAATCCTTGTGCTTGTGGAGACAACCCAAGGTGGCTATGCAAAGTAGGACTCTGTTTTATTTTCTACAAATTATCTTTAAATTATTTTTCATGTGCTTTTATTAATCTGTTATTCTATCGCTTGTCTAGGTAGGAAGACTAGAAGATGCTAAAGAAGTTATCCGTAACCTTTGGGGGCCATCTAAAGTCAACAAAGCAATTGAAGAATTTCAGTCAGTCAATAGGAATGATGATTTGGAGAGCAGATGGCTGGAACTCATAGAGCAGCCACACTCTAGAGGTTGTATTAAGGTTGTTTTTAGTGTCCCATATGGACAGGCTTTGAACTTTTAATGGTAGTTAACATTGCTAGGCACCATTATTAGAATCACTTTATATAGTTATATATATATATTATAAATACACAATGTTTAAAATGAAATAAATATCAATATAATGATTTGTTTTTTTTTTTTAATTTCTTGATAGCGAGGCAAAAAAGACATTGTTTTGTTCATTATGAAAATAAAAACAAAAACAATTGAATCTCATTGAATCACAGTGAATCATTATGAATCACAAATTGAATTGCACGATTCACTCATTTTCGATGAAACAACACAACTCCAATTGTTTTGGTTGAAACTTACATAGCCCATGGACTAACCCACAAAATCTGTCTTTTTGCAGGCAATATCGATGTTTCTAGTAGTCTATGCTATCAGCTCTCCAATAGATAAAGAGCTTGGTCACAACTTATCAATATTGGGAACTGTCCTGTATGTTTTCTTCACCATGTGGCATTTAAAAGTGTTTTTAAGATATAAATTATTAAATCAATTGAATTTAATTGTAGCATTCTCAGCTTACTCAGAGCAGCAAATCTATAGATGTGCTATATTATTGGATTCTATCTTTTACATGCTTTTAGGTACATATTTACCATTGCCATTGGATCTAGCCCAGTAACTGGTATTATTATACCGGAGCTTAGTAGCAGCAGGATGCGTGGGAAGATCATGGGTTTCAGTTTCTCAGTTCATTGGGTATGTGTCACGAACATGTCCGATAATTAATGAGAAACAACTATTAATTGTGAAGGGTCGGTAAAAAAAAAGTGAAAAGTAAAAAATTAAAAAGAAAGAAATGGGTGAAGTTCTAGAGAATCGTTGTTTCTGTCTCATGATTTAGCTTTGCATGTAGGTGTCACAATTTTGTAGACTTGCTCATAAGATATAAATGGACCGATTAGAATGATATATATATATATAATTATCTTGTAAAGTAGAGAATTTTTTATTTAAAATTTATTTTAAAGAGTGGAAACTTATTTAACTTATTTATCAAATTACATTAAATGTGGTTACTGAACATGTTTTCAGAAAGCGTACTTAGTAAACAAATGCCTTCAAATTTCCTCGTTTTGAAGTTTGATTTAGAGTATAACCGTGATTGCTAACGACGCTTTTTATTAAAATGTTGTTAGCAATCATGTTTTCATCAGAGTTTGAACAAGTATGAAACAAAAAAGTGTGGTTACTAAACACGCTTCAAAAAAAAAGTGTTTATTAATCACGCCTTAATATAATTTGAGAAGTTGAACAAGACTCGTTTTCTTAAAATAAAATTTATAATAAACATAATAATGGTAAGAAGCCATGTAAATGTATGTTTCTAGTACTTCAAGCATACCTATTTGATGATGCTTTTGGTGGACTATATTTGTAATTCAAACTGTAGTTTAGTTTGCAATTGTCATGTGACTCAGGTTTGTAATTTCTTGGTTGGTCTGTTCTTCCCTGAGCTTGTGGAGAGAATGCCTGTCAGAAATCTTGTAGTGCATATGGTTTTGATGATGACTAACAAAAAAAAATGTTGTATTTGATGCTATAGTAGTTAAATTTTTATGTTTTTTTGTAATTAACATTAACACATAATTATATTGTCATTAATTATTTTTATTTTTCAGATATTTCCCATATAGGAGTGTGCTTCTTGTGGACTGCATGCCTGTGGAGAATGTAGCTAACTTTTGTTTTTATTATCTACGAAAAATGATGAGAAAAATATTTAATTTTGGTTTATGTTATTTTGAATTATGAACAAAATCATGTATTTAAACATTATATATGTATTATGGAACATTATGTAGTGGGATAATTTTGTTGATATGTAATTATGAATGGAAGAATATTTTATTATGGAGAAATTGTTATTTTTATAGGAATTTTTATATTATTATGCAATTATTTATGGAGAAATTTTAATATTTTTAATAATTTTATCGCAGGATGTTTTTTCTTTTTTGTGACGGCACTACACCGTCGCAAAAAATAGAAAATTTTAATATTTTTATTGATTTTGTTACAGGTTTTACTTTTTGTGACGGTACTAAACTGTTGCAAAAAATATAAATTTTATTATTTAAAATAGAAATTTTATTATTTTTTAATACTTTTGTGACGGCAGTACACTATCGCAAAAATTGAAATTTTTATATTTTTAATACTTTTTGCGACGGCACCACACCGTCGCAAAAATAGTGTTCTTGCCGTTGCAAAAAAAAAGGCTATTAGCGACGGCATTTTTTGCCGTCTCAAATAACATTTTTAGCGACGGTAAAATAGTGTCGTTGCAAAAAGTCAAGAAATTTCAAACATTATTAGCGACTGCAAAGTACCGTCACAAAAGGCAAAAATACCGTCGCAAAACATTAGCAACGGCACTGTGCCATTGCAAAAACTCTTTTGCAACGCCCCCAGTCGCGACCCCCCTCTTGTCGTCGCAAAAAGTCATTTGCCGTCACAAAAAAAAATTTGCGACAACATTGGGAGTATTAGCGACGGCATTTTACCGTCGCAAAAAGCTGAAATTTTAGTAATGCAAGGCTCATGTCATCCATATCATTAACAAATCATTTTTCCCAAATTTCATTTCATATTATAGCATGATTTACAATATCCATAATAAAGGTTCATTTGCTAATTTGTAACATAATTTTCAAATACTACCAAAATTCAATTAAACTAGTATATATATAATTCAACCTCTCAATTTCATGATTCTACTTTCAATTTAGGCAAAATCATTAATTATCATCATGAGTCAACTTAGGATTTTCAAGAAAAATCAAGACTTTCAAGAAAAATTAAAACCTCTCACACCACTACTTTTTATTCCAATTTTCCCATTAATTATACACCTAAGGTTCATAATCCACAATCTTAACCCAACAATTGAACCCCAACACTTCAAACCCAAAACCTCCAAATCTCATGATGTAACACTATATGCTCAAAAATGTAGATTTTGTATTTATATAATCAAAATACCACAAATCTATCTGTTAATGCAAGTATTGAAGAAGAACTAGGACCCCTACCTCAAGAATCAAGCAAAAGAGCAAAGCTTTGATGAGATTCCTTCACAAATCCAAACTTCAATCGGTTGAAAAGTGAAATCTTCAGGCATTCTTCACTTTTTGGAAAGAGATCTTGCCCAAAACTTTGGGGGATGGAAGGTATTTGGGTCAAAAATCTAGGGTTTTTCAAACCTAGGACGAGGGAGAGGAAGAGGGAAGAGGAAAGTGCAAAGAATGATCTAGAAAACCACTTTTTAAGTTGCTGAATTCACGAAGTCCGCTCGAACGTACCTGCTTTCAGCATAAATACTAAAACTTCAAATGGGCCTAACTCTCTCATCCAAACTCCGTTTTAGGTCGTTCTTGTGTCCAAATCGAAGCCCCAGAAACAAGATTTCCAATGGTTCTAGCCTCACACTGAAATCCAAAGTGTGGAAAAAGAAAAGGGCAAAAGAGTGATGGTTGCTCGTAGAAAAATTACCTGAGTCAAAGTTTTCGATCCAATCTTACTTTACCATTATGTTACCACTTCGATCAATGTCCCAAAATAAAATAAGGAGGCACCAAGCACAACAACAAAAATGACAAGAGCTATCCCTCTAGTCCTAGAAATTCAAACTCAACCAGGCAGACCAATCGAACGCCTAATCTTGCGCTTGAGCGCGCATACCAACAAAGCTCTCCGCTCGAGCAATCACTTTTACACTCGAGTGGAAATTCACAACTCTCAAAATTTCAGATAGA